ATTATAAGCAAGTAAATAAAAGGGAGAAAAACGTGGGATTAGAAGGCATACACATTATTACAATTTGCCCTCACGCAAGAGGGTCCGAATGAATGTTCGAGTGTCCAAATAAACTAACTATTACAAATTCGAATGAATAAATTAAAGAGACAAGCTAGCTATCTACTTCATTACAACAATGCTAATAATGAGCAATAAACTAGAAATCCAATTTAACTAACCGTACAACTAGTTATACAATTACAAATGAACAATTGCATGAATTACAACTAGACTATGGATAATGATAAGAATTAAGTACAACAATAATTACAATGATTAATCATCAAACAAGGATGCACAATGCTCGCGTGCGCAGCGTCCAGAAACTGCTCTGTTTGCCCAGACTATTCTGTTTCATCTTCAGCCATTGCCCTCTGTTTTTTGCAAAACATGCTGCTGACCAAACATTGGAGCCCGGCCGACCCCACATGAGGCCTAGTGGGGCCCAAATATGGCCGGCCGTGCCCTATTTTTGTGAAAAAAAAACATGTTTTTGTGCTCTGTTTGTCCCTTCTACTCTTCTCTGTCATAGAAAGCCTCAAGAGAAGAACGAAATCATTTCCAAAACCATCAACGAGCAAATTTATTGCTTGATGAGTTAGGACATGATTTTGGACAAAAATTAATGAGTGTAATGAATCAATACCCACCCCTCCCTCCTATCATGGAGTAAGCACAAAGAGGGAGATAGAAACGCTTCAAGGCTCATCAAAACATCATGAATTGATGTAAGACGACCCTTGACACATTAGACTCAGCATAACGTCCGGCTGAATCCAAGCACTATGACTCATTTTCTTTATGTGGGTTGGTTTATTTTAACAATTTTTTAGACCTTTCCATTCTCTAGTCCATTTGTCCAAGATAAAAGTTAAGTCCTCTAAAGATTACGTCCACTAAATGAGAAGCATGTCAAGCGGGAAATGATTCTCAACATGAAAGAGAGATCATGCCGTTGGTGATGAACCTCCGTAGAGATTAAGCCATTAAGTATAGATCTCTGGCTCATATTTTGGACAACTATCTACTGGTTGAAACAACTCTCCAATGAAAGAAATGGATGGTAAGTTGCTTATTAAAATGAGGCTCTTAACATGGAAATTAATTAAAGAAAAACTAAGAACAACATGCAACAACCTATCTATGAGAACTTATGATACAACAAACGAACTAATCATAGCTTGAACCAATTAAATAACCTAGGACAACCCTAAAACAACCCCTAATAGATGAAAAATAATGGCTCAAAGTGCATGAAAAGAGCCCAAAAAGCTGGACAACAAGCAAAGAAAATAAGGCTAGCAAGCAAGAACAAGGAGGGGTGGCTAACCCCTCCAGCTTTGAAACCTCAAAGCATGATTTTTAGCCTCTTTTGAATGTTGAAAATCAATTTGAAAGGTCAAAGAAAGGAGTGTAGAGACAAGGGTTGAGCTATGAAGTAAGGTGTAAGAGAGGGTGTCAACCCTCTTTACCCTTTGGTAGCTATTCAAACCCAAGTTTCAACACTTGAACTAGGATCAAAACAATACAAAGACACAAGAAATGAATAGAAAATGAAAGCAAAAGCAAGAGTTACAAACTTATACCTCTCAAATGGAGTAAGCTTTGGTTGTTGATCAAGCTCAATCCTAACAAACTCTCAAGCTTGAATTGTACTCCTCAAGGTTCAACCAAGGTTCCAAGGTTAAGGTTTAAGGGAGTGTATGGAGTATGGAGATGGCTTAAGGGTGACAAGCTTGTTCAAATATGACTTGCACAAGAAGAAGGAGCTCTTAATGTATGTATAGGCTTTTTTTAAATTGCTCAACCCTAAAAAATAGATGTATACCCTCTTTTTTATAGAATTTGAGCAAAACAAGTCGGAAATATCTCCAAAAATGGACAGCTAGCGGGTTCCCGCCCAGAACAATGTCTATCACCATCAAGGCACGGCCGGCCCTCAATGAGGCCTAACCGAGGCCACAAGTGTTTCCTTGTTTCTCTGCTTTAAGCTTAGTGTAGGGCAGCACAAGGTTCAAAAATAAAATTCAGGGGTTCAGTCAATGTAGATATGAAAGATTTGAGATTGTTTTGAGCGCTCGACCTTGGTTGAGAAGGCGAATCATGCACAATACTATTTTCATCATCGAATGTACAGGACAAAGCGCATAAGTCTTGCGGGCTGGGGTGTCTACAATTAGGAAATGTTTTTGATTAACCATCTTCGAGGTACAAGGTTATTTCGCGTAATCGATATAGACTTATAACTTCAAGTTCAGCAGCCTTCTTCCCAATCCTCTGCTGCAAAGAGTTGCACTTTGGCGTCAACAAGACGGGAAAGAAAAGTGCTAGGCTAGCTTCTCTTCTTACGCTATTAAGGTAAGGAACCTCCTACTAAAGTAGTCACTACCGGAACTCCCTACTATTGATGAGTTCCAATTCCAAGATCCGCTCTCTTATCGTCTCTGAAAGCATGCTACTGCTTGACTATGACTTCCTTTATTGGTCCATGACTTTCCCTTCACAAAACTTGGGTGCCTTTTTGGGGCCCATCCCAAGTGTGCCAACTTAGAGTTTATATGCTCATATAAATTCTCTCCTTGTTTCAATGTGGGACAAGCCATTAATGAGTAAACCCACTTTGTCTCTTTAACTTCCATTTTCACGAACTCAAAAATGACATTAACTTTCCATTCACTCGGAAATGTTTTTGACGAACCATCTTCGAGGCGTGATTCACTACGCGACAAGGAATACGTCACCACTCAGACCCACCTCAAAAGGCAGATGGGTCCTACTTCAATTTGGGCTCAAAGTGGCCCAAACATAAGCTTAAAAAACTCAAATGTCCGACAATCCCCCACATGAATGGAGTTGACGGAAACGGATATGCAACAATATGCAAAACGTGCCATATAGTATAGTAAGGAGATACCATGCTTCAGGATAAATAGCTTTTGGTTTTGAACCTCCCCTAGTGAGAACCTATCGAGCTTACAAGTTGTCTAGTGGACGCGATGCCTTGAACTGTTTAGCCGTTGATGTAAGTCAAGACAATAGATTACACACAGAGTACCACCAAACACAGTCTGGTTCTACAGTTGTGTTCATTTTGGCCATGAACAATACTTGGTTTAGTGAGTGCTCTAGAGAATTCAGCCTTGTTAATTCTCATAGAACCGGCCCGGTTCATAGTTACATAGGTGATTCTAATTGATAATGTCTTGCCATACTCCACTTAGATAACTAAGATATAAGAATCATTAAAAGCAAAGCTAATCCTAACAATGTTGTAGGCATCACTTTTTTTATCATAGAAATGGGTACGAGAGTAAACCTGTCTAGTGATCAGGGAATCTCCATAATTCGGTTGTCACATTGAACCTAGTTCTTGGATCTCCAATCTTTTAGGCTAGGTTGCCATTATGGAGATTCTTAGTTAATAGGTTTTAATCTCATTCTCCTCGATAAATTAAACACTTGCTCTCTAGCTAGCCCTTTTGTTAAAGGATCCGCAATATTATCTCTAGACCTTATAAAGTCAATGGTAATTATACCATTTGAGAGTAACTGCCTAACGGTATTATGTCGTCGACAAATGTGTTAAGACTTGTCGTTATACATATGATTTTTTGCCCCTCCTATTGCTGCTCACTGTCACAGTGCATGCATATAGCTAGCACGAGATTTGGCCACATCGAAATATCTTCTAGGAAATTTCAAAGCCACTTTGCTTCTTTTTCTGTTTTATCCAAACCGATAAACTCTAATTCCATTGTGGACCTCGTGATGTAAGTTTGCTTAGAGGATTTCCAAGAGATTGTTACACCTCCCAGGGTAAACACATATCCACTCATGAATTTTGAGTTATTAGTATCTGATATCCAATTCGCATCGCTATACCCTTCAAGTACTACTAGATATCTCGTATAATTCAATTCATAATTTTGGATATGTCATAAATATCGAAGTACTCTAATTATAGATTCAATGTTTTTTATTTATTTATTATATGCTACCTACCTATATTACTAGTGATTTCATGAACATGATGGGTTTGTATGGTTGCCAAATGTCGAACAACTTGGATTTATACGGTGTCATATTATCGAACAAGATGAATTTGTTTAGCCTTGTGTGGCCAAAAGTTTAAAGATTCAGTTTTTTGTTTTTTTGTGTTAAATTCCATGTTACCTATCTATATGAGTGGTGGCTTTGTGAACATGATGGGTTTGTACGGTTGTCGAATGTCAAATGTTGAACAAACTCATGTTGTCCGGTGTCGTACTAACAAACAAAATTAAGTTTGTCCGATCTTGTGCGGGTTTATAAATTCTTCTTTTTTTTTTTCACTTTTTCTTTTTAAGTTCCAAGTTTCATGTTACCTATCTAGATTAGTAGTGATTTTGTGAATATAATGAGTTTGTGCGGTTGTTGAATGTTGAACAAACTTGAGTTGTCCGGAGTCATACTATCGAAAAAAATTATGTTGTCCGGCCTTGTGTGGTTGAACATTTACAGATTCACTTCTCTTTTATTTTCTTTTCCATTTTTTATTTTTATTTTTATAAATTTCATGTTACATATCCATATCAATGGCTAGTGGTCCCACGTGTTCAACCAACGGCATCCAATAAAAGACGTGGTAGGCAAACGGGATCTGAGAGGGATGCAAATATGCTATGGAGGTGGATACCCTTGTGGTGGAGGATGACATTGTCGAGGATGATGGTGGTGTGAAGGATAACCATGTCGAGGATAATGGTGTGGAAGATGATGACACGAGACTAGTTCCAAGTGCCGCTGAGGAACTTGCAGAAAGGGTTTTGGACAGAGAAAGGGTTTGGGACAGCTAAAGCCCTAGGGGCTAGCTTAGTAAATTAAATACTTCCATAACAATAGTGTAATTCTTGAGTTCAAGTCTCACCCTTATGATGCAACTTTCTTTCCCTTATATTGTTAAAAAAAAAAACAAAACAAAAACCAACTAGAACTAGGCAGTTCCTGAACATACCAATAACTTTTTACAAATTTAAGTCATTTGCCTTGGCAAATTGGCATCATAACATAATTTAGGACCCAACAATATGGAGATGAAAAACAAGTCCTCTGTTCATCCAGAGAGAACTCATGATACCTAAAGGGTAACCTAATTTTAAAAAAAAAAAAACAACAAAGTTTGGAAGCAACCCAAGAGAAAAAAAAAATCACATTTAGAAAACATACCACCATATCCGTATACAATGTCAAGTGATTTAAAATTTAAGCCATCTTTTCTCCCTTTCTTTGCTGGCGACGGCATTCGACGCAGATGTGTGAGCTGCCTCAGCTTCTGCCAAAGCTTTGCGCGTTTCGTTCAGCTTCCTCATAGCAGCCTCATAAACTACCTTCTCTTTCTTGTTTCGACTCACCATTTCTTCAAGCTTCTCAACTCGCATCCTCAGCTCCCTCACCTCATCGTCATAAGCAAGTAGGGCCCGCCTGTCTTCTCTCTTCCCTTCCCCAAACTGTTTATTCGTCTGTTTCTCTGATCTTCCATTCATAGCTTCACTGTGCATAGCAAGCTGGGTATTGATAAGACTAAAGACATCTGGTTCTGCTTCCTCTTCCTCCTTGGCAGCTTTAGCCGCTGCTGCAAACTTCTTATCACGCTTTCTCTTCCCACCTCTGCTTCGTTTCTTCCCCCGATTTTCCTTATTCTCTTCATTTTCCCGGGAATCAATGGCATGATCAAGTGATTGCTTTGGCGGAAGAGCTTTTACAGAAATGGGGTCCACCATTCCCTGCCCAGATACACCTAAACCCATTCCTTCACAGTAACCCATATTAGCCATCATCTTGGAAGCTATACCCCGGGTGTGATTCTCCCATTTTGCAAAAATGGCAGTTTCTGTCTGGATGCCTTTCTGAAGGGCAGTGCTTTCAAGGAATCCTAAACCCTGAGAATTGTCTTCATCATTGTCACTGGAATCAGATTGTTCTGAACTCATGTCATTTTCTTCTTCATCACTCATTTGTGCATATTCAGACAAAGCAATAGCATCACCCCCAAGCTTTGTGGAGATTCCAGTGCCTCTAAAAACTACTTTCCCCGTTTTGAGTTCATCGTCCCATAATTCAAGTTCAGCTTCCCTCCAAATGCCAGTTTTATTGTCGGGCACTGCCCAAATAGTGGACCCCACCAGTGACGGCTCCCATACTGTGGGGATATACTTCTTCAGGGAAGATAACGGGACATCAACACCTGGTACAAACAACCCAATGTCTGTCATTTCAGTTCTGAGATGCTGAATGCACCATAAGAGAAAACAAGACAAACACTGCTGAAATTTAACAGAAGCTAGCTTAATATTCAGAATAGGCCTATCAAATGCAGGTCAGGAACTGAAATGAACCAATAAAAAGAACTGAGCAAAATTTTCAAACTTAATAACAGAACAATTGGAGCTGCATTGACTAAACCAAGTAGATTAGAAAGTGACTTGGAATTCCTATTTTCTCTCACGTTGGGAGCAGAAAAAGATTGCTAGCGTAAACAATTTCCTTCAACAGTCCAAATAAAAGGGAAGCAATTCTCTTTATTATTTTTGCTTTCCAGATTACTGGTGGACAGTATACTTAACGCATCAGTTTTATCAACAACAAAAGAGAGGACAAAAAACATTTGAGCAGTGGAGGGTTTTAGAAACCAACGTCTATCTTCTCTATTAACAGATATTGTTGTAACATACCATGTGATAAGCGGCAGCTAGTACCAAATCGACACCGCTGCTGTAGAAAGAACTTGCATATCTGCACTTGGGTGGTCTAGTATTAGTAAGTTGATAATTAATCTGATGAATTAATATTTCAGTGATGCCAAAACTCATGCAAGACCTGCCTGGGAAAGCAAAGTGCTATTTTCTTAGAGAAAGAGAGAGGGGGGGAGCAAACAAGGAATGGGGGGGGAGTGCTATACAAATTTTCCTTGTTTCTTTGACCAGAAACAGCACTTAAGTCACTGGTTAGATAGCTATAAGAAATATATATATGTATATAATAAAGAATAACCAAGATGAGTAAATCAATTAAGAGATTTCCGTCATTAAGGCGTTAACATTATGCATAAACATAGGGTCAGAATTATGGGTGCAATGAATCTGTCAGAGTCTGAAGGGTCCAATGGATGACAATGATATGAAGTAAAATGCTATGCAAGTTTAGTAGTCAACCAAACATGGTCATCGACCAGCTAATACATTGGCCCGCCCACCTAATCACGTGGAAACAAAGACAAAGTATCATAAGGAAGCGAAAGCATTTAACAATGACCAATCGGGTAACTAATTTCACCTGTACGATATCACTTGCAGAACACACTGCTTAACCCAGTATGTGAACACTCAACACCATCATACCCCAAGGTGTAACAGCCTAGCATCTATAAACGCAATGTTGTCAAATCGTGAATTGTTTTGCTAAAATGATGGATCGTGAATCACATCGAATTGTGAATCATAAGATTCACTTTATTTAATACTAGAGATGTCTATGTAAACCCATTTGTGATTTTCTTTTGGCTGGTGACACTACGTAGGACAGGGTCACCATTGCACTCATATTTGTTCATGTATGACAGTGTACAATGCTTATGCAACTTAGTATTAAAGTTGGAAACTGTAATAACACGTTCCTAAATACATTCACCTTATTTGAAAGTCATCTCACAAAGTCCAAGAACAGAACAAAGAAATGTTTTGGAGTGTAGTGCAAAAAAACCTAATTAAAAGCATTACCGTATACGCTAGACATATATATATATATATATAGAGAGAGAGAGAGAGAGAGAGAGAGATCTGTTAACTCGAATATTTAAAACTTCGTCTGAAAATTAGCATTTCATTAAGGTCAATAACTTTTGTTCTACTCAAACTCATAGGATATCATCTTAATGCATCAAAGAGTAAACCAATGTTCGCTATCGTCTACCAGAAATTATGATACACTGGGAATGCAATAAGATCTTAATAGCAGATTTTTCTCTAACAGAATCTGCTCAACCAAAGATCGGCATCCAGAATATATATAATTCAATAAATAAACAAGTTAAACTAGAAGGGTCAATTTAAAAGCAATGTTGTAACCACAATAAAGGAAAAATAAACAAGACAAAAGATTAGACTCACCAACATGTTTTCAGATGTTGGTGTGAGGAAAGAAATCTTCGCTGAATTAGAACCTTCCAACCCAAAAATCAGACCATCATACCAACGTCCATCAGTGTGGCGGAATCTACACTTAGATCCAACAGAATAACTTAGATCCGCCAGTGGTTCTGCTTCAACTTGTGTTGGATCAAGGGGCTCCACTTTGACATCATCAGCGACATACTTGGAACTATCTAGAACCGAATCCACCTCTCGCAGCAACCTCGCACGTTTCAACTGAAGGAGCCATTGCTCTGCATCTTTGATAGCCTGAACAAGCTCCTCATAAACCTGAAACAACAAAACATTTAACATTAGCAACTCCAAGGAACCATATATATGTCAAAAGAAATCCCTCCACGTGATTCTGTACAATCTTGTGGTAATTAGTATAATGATTTACTAATAAATTAACAAATAAAACAATCTTGAAAAAATGCTAGCTTTTTCTACATTAAGAACAATTATATCAAACAAGATCAGGAGCAGCATCAAAGATAATCGTGTAGTTTCATTTTCCACCTTACTTCGGAATATGACATGCTGTTATCTATAAATTAAGCAGGCATGGAGATAGAAAATTAAGTATTCTATGAACTGAAACAAGATAGATTTTCCTTAGGCCATTTTACATACGTAAAATCAAGTATGACATGTTATTTGAAACTGTAGATATAAATGAAAAAAATAGTCCGCTCTACCTCATCCAAAAAAAAAAAAAAAATGCAGCAGCACTCAAGCCAGAGATTCAATGGCACTATAGCAGCAATCTTATATCTTCATTTCTAAAGCACTGTCTCTGCCCTTATTTCACATGCTTCCCCAAGGTAAGCTAGAGCAAACAAGGAATAGCACAGCAGATTAACAGAAAAGAGAGCATATAGGGATGTTCTGATCAATCACATGTCACATTGTATAAACAAGTACACAAACCAACAAACAAACAAACACACATAATGAGAGAGAGAGAGAGTATGCAGGGCACATTCCTCCCATTAGATAACCACTTTATATAGGAAAATATTATTTACCATTAACTTTCTTTTCATCATTAAAACAAAGAGTTGTTAGGGCTTGTTAGTTATCATTTTCTATTTTCTATTTCCAGTTTTTGGAAATACATAAAATTTGTTTGGCAAACTGTTTTTTAAACTCCAAAAAAATTGTTTTCAAATTCTTGAATAATGTTTCTGCACAAAATGAAAATGATATTAAAAAAGAATGGATGCTTTCAAACTTTTCATTGTTTTTGTTTCCAAAAACATGAAGAACAAAAATGAACAAAACGAAAACACAACCAAACAAGCCTTGAATTTTACAGTAGAAATGTCCCATTGCTCATTAATTTAAGATACAATCCCCAAAGCAAGGTTTGACCACCAAAAAATAAATAAAAGTTCCCATTAGTTATTTACCAACTATAAATTAAAAGTTCCCATTAGCTATTTACCAACTATAAATTCCAAGGTTACTGCCAGCTAATAGCTCTAGTGGCATTCCCTGTTCCCAGTTTGAAAAGATGCACAACTCCCGTAAGTCCGCTTGTAGGGACAGTGTGAAGGGGAGGTTAGCCTATGAGCTAGGCTACGGAAAAAACCAATCAGCAAAATAATTTACAGAAAGGTTTAATTGGAATCAACCACTAACAATAGCACATCCACACTGATGTCACTACCCAAAGCAGCTTCTAAAAATCATACTTGCAGTTGCAACTAACACCATGAAAATGCTTACCTAAGCTTGTTACTTTACTTCTTCGTAACCCATTCACAGATGATACAATGTCAACTATATTCCTTAAATGATTAATAAAGGAAACTATAATTTAATAACTTTTAACCAATGAAATACAAGAGGATATGATATCATATGAATATGTCAACTGGACAAATTCTAAAAAAAGTAAGATCAGATATATTAAAACAGGGCAATATGTGTGTGTGAGTGGATATCATGTATACAGCAAGTAATATTAAAATTATATGTGTGAACAAGAACTTGACCAAATTTGACTTGCTTTAATCTTTCATTACTATTTTCCAATTCTTCTCCCAAGGTGTATGCGCAATTATTTTCACATTTATCCTACCTACCAGTTGTAGTATATGCAAATGTCACATCTCAATTCCAAGATAGGTTAGATACATGATCTAGAGCATCGAAAAGTATCTGACCGTCCTTCAAAATTGAAGAAAATAATTTCAAATTATCAAAATAAAACATTTAGAAAGTATAAAACACGTCTCTACAAGTACTCGCAGATTGCCAAATCCTTCCTAAGAGTATAGATATTTTGATCACCTTTTTTATGCACACAAGTGTTTAATTTTAAACAAGTCCCAACACTTCTCAACTAAAGCCTGAATCTTGAATATTGAAATGTTGCATTTCTAGAATAGTAGCGAAGTATAAATACTAAAATGATTCAGAAAATCATAACAAAAAATCAAATGCTATACTTACTACTTCAGAGCTGAGTGGTGAATAGCTTCGGTGTTGTATAGTTCTAAACGAAGAACTATTCAGGGTTTGAATCATTCTTCTTTTGCCAATTGGAGTCGTTTCTTTATTGGTTTCTCCAAGCATAATTTTTTAATGATGTGTAAAAATTTAGAATATTTAAGATTTATAAAAAAATACATTCTGACTTTATATGCCCAGAAATATGTAAATACGTGTGTAAAACCATGCCATTGGTGTATTCCTATCCTCTTTTAAAAAAAATTTAGTCGTACCATGTCACATCTATCCCATGCCATGTTTCCATGGCTAAGGCATCAAACTAAGTTACTATAGCTCAAGGATCCTAAGCTAAATTACTATAGCTCAAGGATCCTAAACTGACTAAGGAGAGTGGCACTTCTGCTAGGTTCTCATCCTTCATCTGTTCTTAAAAAAAACCCAAAAATTGTTATAAAATAATATCCTATATAAAAATCATAATTAATTAAAAAATCACTATCGCACTTGATGCATACAATGTTCAATTACAATGTGCAAGAAAAGGTACAACCTTGAATAAATTTAAAGAAGAATTCTTCCCAACAGAATAGTCAATACTTACTGAGCTCAAAAGACGCTAAATGAGTCAGGGCATTAAAAAAACCCAAAAGCCAAAAAAGTATTAGCAAGATAGAAGATTAGCTTTACTTAATTATTTTTGAGAGAGGGTGGGGGTGATAGCTAAGCACACAATGCAAATAGAGTACATATGCAACAAACCAAAACCAAGCCAAAACCAAGCCTCAAGTCCCATCAAATGGGCCAGCTACATATGCAATAATCCAACTAATTTATGATTGGTCTCTTATCCCCCAAAAGAAAAAAATTATGGTTGCTCTCTTGAAATTTGAGACATACAAAAAAATGAGTGATAAAAAAACAGATGAAGACCAAACTTATCCCACCACCATGTAGTGAAAAAAATGGAATAACTCATAACACATTTTATTGTGTATATTTTTAGCATAAGGAAGCCAAAAAGAAAAAGAGAGTATGTAAATCTATACTAAATTATTGTAACTCTTAATCTATGTTACACGGAGTTTCCAAAACAACTCAAATAGCAATGTCAGACGCCCGACTCCTGACACTTAGACAACAGTGTGGATGTGTGTAAGGATGGAACATGTCTAGATTATATAGGTTTGTCGTCAAAAATCAATAGTTACCCATGTGAAGAAAATCATTTAGACTGAACATTTGAAAAATAAAAGTCTAATAAAACGACTTCCATGAACTTGGATCTTCAACCCAATCCTCATTTTCAAGTTGTAATCTTCATACTCCAACTCTATGTGTATCTCTTTCTCTCTACCTTTCTTGTTCTTCTTATTTGTTTCAGTTATCCCCCGCCTCTTTTTATTCTTCTTTTGTTTCGATTTCATTTTTTCTTGTTTCGGTTCTCTCTTCAACTCAATATTTATTTTTGGTTTCCTCTTCATCTTCTACATACTTCTATCAAAATTTCTTCTTTTGCTTCCTTTCGTCCTCCTTTCCTTCCTTTCGTCCTCTTTTCTTGTTTCTCTTTAGTCTTTAAAGAATTGAAGTTATTTGTAAGAATTGAACCAAGGATTACTTTCTTAACTCTGTTTCAAATCTTAAGAATAGTTATAAGTCTTACAATATTTTAGAAATTTGCAAGCTTATAAATAAATTTTGGGGGGACATACGTGTAGGTCTTATTAAGTTGACTTATTGTTTAATAAGTTCGATAATAATTAATGATATTTTTCATCATACACTATTAAAAAACGACACTAATTGTTAATTTTCAGCGATAATTTAAAAATTATCAAAAAAAATGTCAATAATTATAAATTTTAGCGACAGTTTAAAAAAAATTATCAAAAAAAAAGTTATTAATTTTTAACTTTCAGTGCCAGATTGAAAAATTCGTCATAAAAAGTCACTAATAGTAAGTTTTAATGACAATTTATAAAAATTGTGACAAAAAAGTCACTGTCAATTTTTAACAACATGTGTAAAAAATTGTCACAAAAAATTATTTTTAGGACTTATTTTCAATAGGACTTGGTGGGAATTAAGTCCAACTATTAGGATCAACTGATAGTTTACCCATAAATTTTTATCCCGATGACTTCACAAAGTAAGAAAACTACATGTAAAATTTCAATTGTAAAACTGTGGGTGAGAATAATATCCTTAAACATCCCCAATTTTAAAAGTCGTCAAAAATTTCTAAGTTGTGCCAAATGTTAGTGAAAACATGATATAGGATAATTTTATAGCAAATTGTCTGGTCACATATCTTGTTGATCATATTTTGAAATTATATACATTAAATAGTTATATCTAACGATACACTTTTATGACATTTTTTTACATTATGTGTAAATCGAAATTGAAATTGCATTTCACTCATTCGTTACAAATTTTTTGGTTATATATATGTTCATTACCTCAATGTTAAAATCCAACGTCCTTCATGGATATGTGTCTGATACTTTTCATCGGACACTTCTATATATTTATATTTAACACTACCATTATAGTTGCATAATTATTATAAAATGAGCAATATATTTTTTTGACACGGTATAATACCATTTTATCTCACATAATATATAACAAATTAAAAATATGACCATTTTTCACCACGTTCGCATACCCTCCTTAAAATGAGGTTTGATGGGTCCGACCTTTATATGTGCACCTGCATCCAAGTCCACGTAACATAGATCTTAATCACTACATACATGCATATAAAGTTATCGAGTATGCAAATTATGTCCATTCAGGTAATTTAAGATGGAAAATAATTTCACAATTTAGCTTCACTTCAGAGCTCAATTTCATATGGATTCCTATATAAACTTGATAATTTGCATAAAATAAAGGAGAGTCTGAAATAATCGTCAATTGCACACAGTATGTTATCATTCATATAACTAAAATGACGACAAGAACATTATTGTCGACGTATAATTATAATGTTAATAATGTTCATTTCACAAACAACAATTGAATTATGAAGATACTGAAAGAACCTCGCAAAGCTCAAAACTTGAGAGAGAGAGAGAGAGAGAGAGAGAGGGATTGAAAACCCTAGTTGGTGAAAAAAGAGAGGGGACTAACAGGAAGGAGATCGGGGTTGGTAGGATCAGAAGAGAGGGCATCTTTAAGAGCCGCGAGCGAGTCTCTTTGGTCTTGCAGTTGAAGCTCCACTTGTTCTTCCATGACTCTCTCTTCCTCGTCCGCCATTAGAGAGTGAGAGAGAGAGAGAGAGAGTCTCACCCTTTGTACGTTCCTCCTAAAACTTGGCACAATTAAAAATAAATAAATAAAAAGGTAAATTACACTGACACCTCGGAAGTTTAATCCAATTACATTGTATCGGATGTTTTGAAAATTATATTTTCACCTTGGTTAATAACTTTGTCAACGAATTACACCGATCCTTAACTTTTTAATTGTGACATATTTAATTTTGAATTATGAATTTTGTTTTAAATAAGGACAATTGAAAATATTATTACTCAATTTTAAGAGCAAAGTTATCAATTTGATAAAATATAAATTAATTTGAAAAAAATAAATGCCAAAAAAATATTTTTAAATTTTTAAAAATTGTTTCTATCCACCAAAGATATAATTATGTAAAATTGATAAATCTTTTACATTTTTTTTTTTGGTACCAAATTAATTTTTAGTATATGTTTGGATGATAATCATGTAATGGTGGTTGTTTTTATTTTCATTAAATTAGTTTTTATTTTTTCAAAAGTCAAATATGACGATAACTTTGATATCTTTATTAAACCAATCTAATAAATCAAAAAATCCAAAATTAAAAATATTTCATTTATTAAATATATCAATTACACATTAAAAGCCTAATAATCATCCATTACATGATAATCATTCAAAGATATCTGTTAACAACAAATACAACCATCTATTACATAACTAGCGGTAACACATGCGATGCACGGGCGTATATAGTTTAAAATGAATAATTTAAAAATAGGATTACAAAATATATGATGCATTATGGTTTAAGGTTTAATATCATTCACATTGATTGTCTTTTATTATTTATTTTTGATGAGATTTTGATAACTAAAAATATAAAAAATAATTCAATTAAACAAACAAATAAATAAAAAACAACTCTAGTTAAACATCAATTGAGAATTATATTTTGCTGTGATAAAAATAATATTCTATGTCAACCCACAAACAAAACAAAATAAAAGACTCAATTATTCAAGTTTCTCATCAAAAAAAAAAATATATCAAATGTAAAAGAGAAAAATGCATTAGAATTACATAAAGATATAAAAAATAAATAAATAAATAAATATCACAAAAAATATAGAAATCACAAAACTGTGTGAACCCATTACCAAAATATACTCAAAAGATAAAATTTTAAGCAAAAAAATATAATGAACGCTCAATGGCCAAGTTATTACTCTAAAATTCTCAAATAAGAAAGAGCTTTTTAGTTTTGTGAGAAATTTTTTATTAGAATGATACACACAAATAATTTTCTTACACATTTTTTTTTTTTTGTGCAATTTTGGTACATGAAAAATGTTTCAGAACTCTAAACAATGAGCTCAAAGGGAACTCTAATCAGTAGATCCCACCCATTTATGTGATATTTTGGCTTGTGTTTTTTTTTTCCCCTTCATTAGAGCTGGTTTTAGAGCTCATTGTTTAGAGCTCTCTATCATTTCTGTTTGGTACATAATATCCAACATTGATGCAATAAAAAGAAATTCAAAAACTCTTTAGGCATTAAGCTTGCTATTATATTTATGATGTCACTTGGAAAAAAATTAAAATTTAGACAAAAATTGCAAATGTGTAAAGCATTTCAACCATATCGATAACAATATAAAAATCATATATATAAAGAAGGAGAGAGGAGGAAAGAGAAAGAGCAACACGGAACACCAAGACCATTGGATTTAAGCTCAAAAAGTAATGAACAATTAATAATTTAGTATTAGGCCAAACCTTTAGATTTGAATACAAATGGGCCTTTTTTATTTCATTAACAGTTTTGTATGTGTTTATAATCAATTAAATGTAACTATATACATAGGAGGAGAGAGATGTGAAATTGGATAGCTAAATGTAGATTATCTATATTAAATATTCGAATTTATATTTAAATTATCTTTATTTTGAATTTTGTTGATAGATATAGATTATCTTTATATAAATTTTCAATTCAATTATTTTTTTAATTTTCTAATAACTTTGTGTTTTTTTTTTTCCCTTGTTGATAAGTTTGTATTCGGATAACTATTGTTCTAAGAGCATATTATTGTTAGCCTCCCCTATCTATAAAAAAAAAAAAAAAGAAGCATATTATTGTTATTAAATTATTAAAGAAAATTATTTTTAATTTAAATGGAAGCGATGGGAGAGGAGTGATGTTGAAACTTAAGTACCACATAATTTTTTAAAATTTTAGATTTTATAAAAAAAAATTAGAAATAGAGATTTGGAGATCTAAGAACATACCTACTACATTTGCTCATATATATAGTAAAGATAACCATCGAAAAGTATCAACAAAAACAACCACCTATTACATGATCATCATCCTAACACATAACAAAAATTAATTTAGTAAGAGAAAAAATATTTGTGTAAAAGATTTATCAATTTTACATAATTTTATCTTTAAGGGGTAGAAATAATTTTTAAAAATTTAAAAATATTTTTTGACATTTATTTTTGTCAAATTAGTTTATATTTGATCAAATTGACAATTTTGCCCTTAAAATTGAGTAATAGTATCTTCAATTATCCTTATTTGGAACAAGATTCAAAATTTAAGGTCAAATGCGTCACAATTAAAAATTCATGAATTAAAGTGACACGAGCCCTAAACAATAGAGACTGTTAATGTAATTAGCCCTAGACACATTTCACAAACCACTACTTATATAAAAAGCAATAACTCCTAATAGAAAAATAGAAAAAATTACATTGGAAAAAAAAAGTGTAAAGCAAACGAAAAGAACAAAAAAAAGAGCAAGAGAAAAAAACAAAAAAAAAAAAAAAAGTAAAACAAAGCAAGAAAAGAGAAAGTGTATGAGTTCAATGTTTTATTTTTGCCTAAATAATTACAATGACAAGAGGTTAGTGTAATTTCTGAAATGTTAAAGGTGATATGTATTAAACCTAAACATCAGAAGGTGTAAGTGTACTTTACTCCAAAAAAAATTATCAATTTAAAAATTAATTTTATATTCGCTTTGAATTTAGATTATTTATTATTTTCATTTATTGAAACGGGCGAAAAAATAATATTTTAGGTTGAGTTTCGGAAATTGCTAAATAAATTATTCATTTTTTTATTTGTTATAAATTGTCATATTACATTTCTATTTTTTATACATTTTTTAATAAAAAAAAAATTAGGATTTTGTTTGGCATAAGTTACTTTGACTAAATTAGTTAATACAAACAAAACATGCTAATTTAACCAATAAAAAAATGTCAAATTTAAATCATAATCATTTCATTTTCTCTCACAACCATATCAAAACAAAAAAACAAACAAAATTTATCCCAAATATAACTTTTTTAGTCATGTTAAAATAATTAAAAAGTCAAAAAATTGTGCTAAATTAACTCATCAACCCCAAAGGATGTCATTAAATTCAAAGTATATATACATAGAATGTCTAAAATACTCATTTTTATTGAATTTAATTACTATAATACTTAATTTTTTGTCAATTTTACTTAACAAAAATAAGCAAATAGTTTAGATTGAAAACAAGAGGAAATATCATTTTGCCCCCCAAACTTTCATGCATTTTTCAATTTGACCCCTAGACTTCGATTAATATCAATTTTACACCCAAACTTTGAAATTTTGATCAATTTGGCCCTTGCCATTACATTCCGTCTAAAATTGGCCAGATTGTGCTGACGTGGCACCAAAATTCATTTAGAATTTCATTTTACCCCTCAAACAATACCTTAACAATCAATTTGCCTCCCAAATATAAAAAATTAAATTTAAATATTTAATAAATAAATTTTTATCTCAATAAAAAAATTAAATTTTAAATAATATATACTTTGCAAAAAAATAATAAAAAATATAAAAATCCTCATTTAGAATTGTTTTGAGACTATGAAGCATGGGTACTTCAACATACATATCATACTTGTACCAGGTACTTACCAAATTTTGAAATATTTTTCCCACTCAATTTTGAAATTACTATTAGTCGACCAATTCTATTGTAATTAATTTGGGTAACTAGTTACAATTGCGCGCGTGCACACACATAGTATAACAATCCCGACCTGTGATTAACTTTTAATCCATGATTAAGAATGCCTAATAAGTAATTAAGGTGAAATTATTAACTAATTGCATGTGTGTTGCATTCTTTGTGTTTATATCTATTTACAGTAGGAATATCTGTCTGTATTTCTGTTTTGTTCTGCGAATTAAAGGTCTTATCGGCATCCGATCACGGAATTGCTTTGATTTATGTGTTATTTAGTATTTTTAGAATTTTATGGAAATTCGATTCGGAATGATTAAATTAGAATAAAATAATAACAATAAATTAACCTTAACTCAACTTAATTAACTAATGCTAATTGAACCCATATAAGGCTAAGTGAGCTCTAGACTTAACCATACACTTTCATTCCTCATCTTTTTGAGTCACCAACATGAGAGAGAGAGAGAGAGAGAGAAGGAAAATGAGAAGTGAGATCAAGCTAGGAATTGCTAGGGGAATTGAAAGAAATTGGTGGTATTGAGCAAGACTTGCTAGGAATCAAGGGAATCAATGCTTCTAGGTAAGAATTCAACTTTAGATTTATGGCATTTAGTTAGATAACATGTGAATTCAAGAGAATTTGAAGACTAAAGTCAAGGAGTAAACTTAGATAAAAGAATTGAGCATGAATAATGCATTACATGCATAATCCATGAAGTTTGAGTTGGATTCCATCTCATATCCACATGCATGGGCCTATACTTGCATAATTTTGAGAGTTTAACATGATTCTTCTCTCATTGTGTCATTTGTACAAGTTTTGGAAGCAAGAATTTTAAGTTCGTTCATGCATGCATGCTATATACATACAAGTATCAAGTGTAATTTTGAAGAATTGACTTGCTTTTCGGCTTGATTTTATGAAATGATCTTTTCTTCATGATGATACATGAGTTTTTAATTGTTTCCTAAGGTTTTTGGCCCAAAGGAGCAAGTATGAAGCTTTAAACTCATGGTTCGCATCTTGTAAAGCAATCCAGAAATTC